TTTTCATATAATACAGTAATCACACAATGAGGCAGTTCGTATTTGTCTCAGTAAATCATTAATGTTTGACAGACACCTGTACAAAATACTTGGACTAAAAGCCAGCTAAAATTTTCTGTTATCTTGCATGTTTTATGAATCTATTCACATCTAAATGCAGCACTTTATTTTTTGGAATGAGACATTTGTTTTTATACTAAAATATCTGAATTACTTTGAATAAAGCTGGAAATTATGTCCCTTAAAATAATTAAACAAATAAGGCACCAATGTTTTTGTAAGATATTTACATCTTTTAAGGACATTCGGTAGACTGATTCCCCACTGTTGGTTCAACCCCAAAACTTGTTTGTATTCAAAATTAATTATGACAATGCATATTTATATTGAATCAAACTATGATACAGGGAATTATATTATATAACAAAGGACAAGGTCACCAGAGTTCAACTATGTTACTTGTTAGTGTGAATATCAATTTTGCATACACATGGAATATAATTATTAGTAATGCCTGTTGGCTTTCTGAGGAATATTCATGGGAGATTTCATTGAGATTAGCCAACTAGTAGCCATATTGTATGTTACAACATATGATATAATTTGGCAGCCATTCGTGTTGATGAAAATCATCAATTTTCAATGAATATTATCCAATTGTGTCTAAACTTGGTACAGAGAGACAATGTTATGTATTGCTGCACACACACACACATATGCAAGTTCTATCATAATTCAAGCCAAGATTTTTGTTGTTGATGAATATAATCGATTTTTTGCAAACTTATATCTGAATTGCAGATTATCCAATGACATTGTATTTCTAAACTAGGTACACATACAATTGTTTTGTTGATATTTGCTTACTGTACATATTTCATTTAACAATTTAATTAAAATATGCAGCATAGACATTAGACATGCATGTTGATCTCACAAGACATCTTTAGTACCGTACTGTTTGAGTGCATGTGCATGACTGACAGTACAAAACGGAGCATGCAGTTATCTCATTTGCCATATAAGAAGGGCTATAACATTTTCAATGGCTCATTATTTCCAGGTCAATGTAAGAATTTACAAGATTTAAATATATCAGAATGTAGTGGTGTAAATGACGATATGATGAAAGACATAGCTGAAGGCTGTTCTATTCTGTTATATTTAAATATATCACATACCAATATAGCTGATGCTTCTCTAAGAGTCTTATCTAGGTAAATCATACACATTTAATTTATTCATTCTTCCACACAAAAAATCATACCTTTGACTAGTTATATTGTCTATATGTGTTTTGCTATGTACATGTATATACCAATTCATAGATTCTGAGAGACTTCATTCAGGAAGGTTGACTATTAGAACCAGAACAAAATAATCTCTTAGACACTGCAACCTCCTCTGTCAATTGACATAATTGTGATTCCCTTATATTCACTTTACATGTAGCAGAGTTTATAAATTCTGCGATAATATCTGCAAATCATGTCTAGTGAATATCATATACTTTGTATTTTTTATTGCGATTCTTTCATTGTGCGGTAATATATACCCGGTATATACTTTTTTAGAATTTAGTGGAATTGATACAATGTCAAAAATCTAAAAAAGCAAACTACTGTAATTACCTTTACATATTTGCTTATGTTATGGTCAAAATAAGTCATATTTCAATGATTAAGTACACATGTACTATACTTACAGTTTTGGGTGTAAGCATGCTATTACAGATGCACTTCTCATAAATCAGATACCGTATTTGTTCTATATGCCATGTATGTACACTACAATACTTAGGTTACAAATACAAATGTATTATGTAACAAACTTGACAGTTCTCTGCCTAAAACTGCTAATACATATGCATATTCAATGAAATCTTTTGTTCACCTATTATGGAACTTACGGAACTTGCGAATTGACAACTTTGCTTCCATTCATCATCTGTCCTCACCTTTACATGTATCTTGGACATGCATGGATCCATCACATTCAAACTTCATACATATATCATACATCTTGGTATACATATACAAGTTCATTTGTTTCATGATCTCATTCAAGATGGCCAAAGGGAGGCATTTTTGTGCTAAAAGTTCATCAAAATCAAGGAATTATGTCAGATCTGGACTGAGTCACAGTCATGTATGAATGGATTTTGCACGAACTTAGTACATACATTGTACATTATGGGATCTTGTTGCAGATCAGATTCAAAATGCGCGACTCATTGCTATTTTGTTTTAATGTATGCTGTTCTAGAGCCATTTCTCTGACATGCTTTGACCAATCATGTTAAACTTCATATATAGAACATTCATCATATCACACATATATGCACATGTTTTTGTTTGACAATCCAGGCTCAGAGCTTAGTCATACATGAACAGCTACTGTTCAAACTTGGAACATATCCTGCTACATTGAACATGATGGGACCAAATTGTTTCCCTGATTGGATTCAAAATGAAGAATGACAGAAATGCTGTTTTAGAACCATGTTTCTGACATGCCTTTGACTGATTGCCCTTGAACTTGACTACTACGTTCAAAATAGCTGACTCATTTCATTGTTGTTAACTATAAACAATGAGAACTGTTAATACCACCTTTGATCGCAATTAAATCTGATCCGAAACTGTTATACAATGTACACTTTGAATTAAATCATTTTTTTTCTTCACAGGTGTTGTGCCAATCTTCAATACTTAAGTTTAGCATATTGCAAGAGATTCTCAGACAAAGGTCTACAGTACTTATCCCATAGTAGAGGATGTCGCAAACTTATCTATTTAGACTTATCAGGTTGTACACAAGTAAGTACATTCTGCCATATTTGAGTATGGAATTCTTTCTTTTTCATTAGATGTTAGATTTGTCCCAGATTGAGTGTACTGTGTTTAAAAATTGTACCCTCAAAGTGGAAGTTATGATTTTATTATATGTGGTTTATTTATACTCTTATACAAATATGTTGCACATCTGGTCAATTATGGAAAATAGTTATTTGTGATTCATTAAGTTGTAGGAAGTAAAAATAGACAAAATGAAGTTGGTCAGAATGTGTCTGCTATTAACTTAACCTGTTGGTTGGATAAATTGGCATAAAATTCTTGTAGTGGTACACAGTGAGGGAAATCTTTGGCTTTGGTGCCTTACTTAATTTGGTAGTTTATGTCTTATTTTTTTAATTAATTACTGTAATCTAAATCCTGTATCATTTATTTTCAGATTACACAAGAGGGTTACAGAAATATGTCTGAGGGCTGTTCAAATATCCAGTCCATTTTTCTAAATGACAACAATACACTGAAAGATGAATGTCTTTCAGCAGTTACCAGTAAATGCCATAATATCAGATCCATGTCATTGCTAGGAACTCCTCATCTCAGTGATTCAGCAATTAAAACCTTGGCTCTCAACCGAAGATTACAGAAAATTAGAATGGAGGGTAAATAATTACTTATATTTTATGTGAATTTAACTTCCTGGTAAATTTTATATAAGCTATTAATTTAAACTATAATAACTTAATTATAATATATTTCCTATATTGGGAACGTATCTTTAATCGAAGCACTCATATTATTATTCAATATAACTTTTTCTGGCCATAGAAATGTGTATGTGCCACTGATTTAACAAATTTGGTAAATCTGACTTTGGTTATAACTGCATGTATTATTTCATTTTTTAGGTAATAACAGAATATCTGATTTGGGTATCAAGCATCTTGCCAAATATTGTCATGATCTGAGACATGTTTATCTGTCAGATTGCCCAAGATTGACAGATACTGCACTGAAATCATTATCCAACTGTCGTAATGTGAGTGTCTTAAACATAGCCGACTGTGTCAGGTATGTATTTTACAATCACAGTCATACCAATGTATTGTGATATGATAGCTACTAAGAATCATCTGATGGTAATATAAAATATTATAGCATACCATTCACCAAAACTGAATACTATAAGATGAGTTACAAAAAAAGTTATATTGATACCAAAAAACTAAGCAATTCACTTTTATTCAACTTTAATGTTTTTTTCCATTTTCAAACAAATGTGTTTTTGTGGTTGTAATCAACAGCTGTCCATGTTTTATTGGTGGTATATTTTAATAATAGTAATAAATCTACTGTGCCATGTTGGATTATGGGTCACTTCTGTGCCCGCTAGTACAGACTGACTGCTCATCCAATATGGTGCTAGTGAGATTTCATTGTTGGTATAATAATGATAATATTTACATGTTTCAAGTACAAATGTCTGTATAATAATTTTATGACAACTTGCTGCACAGTGGTATAAAAAAGTCAATGATCAGTTGTGTGAAGGCAAATATATCTGATGTGTAATGTAATGCAACTTACATTTACCATCCTACAATATAGTGTTCATGAATAGCAGCATAATTTTAATTGAATTGAATATAATAGTACTGGTATTCTTGTGGATAAAAGTTGACAAAATATGACTCTGGCCACAGTCCCTTTGACTGGCTTGAGGACCCCGGTGAAATTTTCACTGCTACAGTGTACCAAATTTGTCCTGTAAAATTATTGCAGTTTACAGTATCAATTCTGTACTAGTCATATCATATTTACTGAACATACAGTTTTATATTTTGTGCATTCAGGATAAGTGATTCTGGTGTTCGTCAGATGGTAGAAGGACCATCTGGACCAAAGATACGTGAGCTGAATCTAACCAACTGTGTTAGAGTTAGTGATGTATCTATACTAAGAATCATGCAAAAGTAAGTTTCACACTGGTGTTTGTTTTACTTGATGCTTTTTCACATATAGATCGTCCATAGAAAGAGAACAATAATATTGATAATTAATTATTGGAAAAAACAAGCAATTAATAATATATGATTCAGAAATATTGAACTGTAAATAGCAAACACAAAATCATACATGTAGTTTTGTGATTTTATAGTTTTCTTATCAGCAGGAAATTAATATGTTATTTTTTTATAAGGGTATGCCATTGATATACAGAGATGTTTTATATTGAATAAATTGAGTAATTAGTTGTATTAGCTGACACACACAGCATCTTTTAAATTGACAATCATGCGTAACATTTTGTTATTTCTGCATAGCATTTATTGTTTTCAATTGTTGAGTCATTTCATATGATATAAGTATGAGTGTTATATCAATCTTGTTTCAGGTGTCATAATTTATCCTATGCCAGTTTTTGTTTCTGTGAGCATATAACTGATGCTGGAGTTGAACTACTAGGTAGTATGCCATCATTAATGTCAGTTGATATCTCAGGATGTAATGTTACTGATTCGGTGAGTATGTAAAATGATTCATTATTTATAGGTTATAAACGGCAGGTGGGGGTATTTGTTGGCGGATATATATAAGAGCCATGATAATTCTGAAAATACAATTCCTTGATTTTCAGTTTATTTCATTATATTATGATTTCCACATGTAATACATTTGAGGGGTCAGAATTTACCCGGTGCCTAGTGCAAGTTCTAGATTTTGTATTCAAATTCTAAGGAACATGTGCATAGATGGCAAGGCACATGATATAGTCAACAACAATTATGGTATATTTCAACAAATCTGCATGCACTATTTCCACACATAAACAAGCAAAAAATGTAAAAAATGTTTTTGGTTGTGAATCCGTGCATTTAGGTCAACTTATGAAACAGGGGGCAGGCCAGATAAGTGGAAGCGATGGATATATTGATGACATCACATGTTCTATTTAATTGTTATGCTGCAATGAACAAAATACGCAATACATTAACATTTCTGTCAATATTAATTTGTATTAGTACTTGTACCAGGTTTCCCTGTTCTGATCAGTTGATCATATACCCACAATCACTATAAACAGTACTCACAGTCATGTGATCTTGATTCAGTTAAATATTTAAGCCAGTTTATTCAGTTTTATGCCTTAGACCATAGCAACTAAGGAGAGTTAAAATAATTATTCCTCAGATAATGTTTGCATCATGGGCCGACATCCGGGCATTTTCACCACCTGGCAACCATCGCGGTGAAAACAAAGGCCAAAAACTTGCAGAAAACGGTACTTTGGAATGGTTGTTGAGACTCCTCTGAACAGTGCAACAAGATTAGCCCTACGTGTGTAACATGTATAAATTCGGTTGTACAGGATTACTTCAAAGTTGAGTTTGTGTTGTTTTCTAAAATTGTTCCACAGCAGCATGCACAGAGCCCATAGAAATGCATGGAACAGTTGTGTGCGTCTTAGCAACGTGGAACGTCTGTGACGTAGCTCCCCCCCCCCCCCCCGAGGATACACAGAATTGTCAGAGATCACAAGTTTTGTCACATCACTTGTGAGGACAAAAGCGGTCTTTAACACCTAAACACGAAGAGCATGTTCAGTGCATGTAAATTCTTCAAAACAAAGTCCTAAAAAGTCAGAAAACAAATAAATTTTGTAATTTTTTAAAACTTGGCATTTGTATGTGGTAATTGGTGCGTATCATTCACAGTATAAGTGACATTTAGTGTGAAATGTATCTAACTGATATTTATCACTAAATGTGGCGATATGTTTATTTCTGTGACATGAGAATTTCAGGCTGAATAAAAACAATAACTTGCACTACTCATGGCATATACATTTTTAGCTTAGTTCCGTGAAATTATAGTACAATGTACCTATTTTTTCTGTTTTTTGGCATTCAGAGTTGATCTTGTGATGAAAGGTTATCACTTGAAATCACTTATTCAAAGAACCAGTTGTTACCTGTAGTGTTCTCACCATGAAATAAATATGTGGGGCAGATTTGTTTCATCAGTTTAGAAAGTATGAGACAATTAGCCATTCATGAGGAACATGAGACTCGGACATAAAGATATTTGTTCCTCTTATAGTAGAAAGTGTACTCAAATGTTTATTATGAAAACAGGTTGTATTTTTTTTACATTTCTGTGAGACAATTTGTCTCATGAGATTGAAAAATCTGGGACAAAATTAAACCATGAGGCAAATGTATCATATTTCATGTGTGGTGAGAACACTCTAACTGTGATGTCATACTAGCCCATGACATCACTTGTATGAAACAGCTCTACAAACAAGTGATATCTAGTGATAACCTCATAGTATCTTGTACACAGCACAGATTCTAATGAAAGTTACTTGTTAACACAGTGAAAATCAACAATTATTACCAACAATTAGCATGGATGTAATCTTCTCTGCTACTTTCGTCATACAAGTGAAATATTGTTGCTTTCTGCATTCGTATTGACAATAATTTGTTGATTGTCATATTGATCATGTTTGTCGAACCAGTCCACTTGGACTTTCAAAATATTGCATTTCGATGTCAAATTTGCTTCTGTGAACTCAGCAGTCAACATGTTGTGTTTTCTAGCTTTCATCCTACATGCAGACACCATTAGAGTGGAATGTTGGTGTAATTTGCATAAACAAAGGGATATTTTGTGATATATTTTATTCCATGTAACCCACTCTCTTCCGATCAGCTTGGCGTACTAGAATATTCAGGATAATAATATCCCTTTTTGTTTTTGTACTGATCTTTTACATAATCATATTTTATTACAGGGGCTTGCATCTTTGGGAAACAACCCCCGACTATTAGATGTCACTATAGCAGAATGCTATCAAATCACTGACTTGGGAATACAGAAATTTGCCCAGCAGTGTCGCGATTTGGAACGCCTTGATGTCTCACATTGTTCGTCTTTGACAGATAGTGCTATCAAAAATTTAGCATTTTGTTGTCGACGTCTAGTTGTGCTCAATTTAACAGGCTGTCAACTGGTAAGTTTACTTTCAGTTTCACTCAGATAATAAATAGCTGTTACACTTCATCTATCCCTTAACATTGATTAGTTTTGTTTCTCAGTGCATAAACTATTATTACAAAAAACAGGAACTTATAATTCGGTCTCCATCTGTCTGTCCATCCAGAGTTGAATTTCAGAATGCTCTGGACAGAATCCGTTAATTCTTTGCCTATAGTACTTTATGTTGGATATATTCACATGTAGTGGTTTTATGATTCAATCCAAGATGGCCAAATGGCAGCCATTTTGTTTTTTGAAAATAAGGACATTCTTTTTCAGGTTTTGTTCAAATTTAGTACATACATTATTCATGTTGGAATACATGTCCATGTCAGTTTGTTCCATAATCAGATCAAGGATGGCCAACTGGCAGCCATTTTTTGTTGTTGAAAATGTGGTATCTTGGACATGCTTTGTCGGTTTCATTCAAATTTGGTACATATATTACACATGAGATCCATGATGATTCATTTCATGGTTGAATCAAAATGGTCAACTCGCAGCCATTTCGTTTTTTGAAAATGTATTATTTATTATATTTTTGTAATATAAAAAAGTATTTAAAAAGATGTACATAGATCATTTTGGATAACATTAGTCAGTTATTAAAGTTACAAATGAATTCACGAATGGCAAGATTTTTTCCCGAGATGCATATTGCGACTATGGATGTGAGTAAACTTTAACTGATACTTTAGGTTGTATATTCTCAAACATACATTGTATGTTAATCATTTTGTACACATTTATGTTTGACTTTTGCTTTGTTCTCATTAAATAGCAATGTGGCTTTAATTAATTCCCCGTTATAAATATTATTAGAAAGAGTGCCATTTGGTAAGGCCATAACAAGTTAGTTGGCACATGCTTAGGATATTGTACACATGCACTTTACTTTAGTTTGGATAACAAAATTACTTGGTCACATGACCAACGATTTGCATATCAAAATTGATTGCATATATTATGCATGTAGCAATACATGTTTATAACAATGCAATTTGTGATCAGATAAAAGATGACAACTTGCCTCCATCTTGCTTTTTGGCCATATAACTTTATCATGGACATGAATAGCATTTCCCTTAATTGTAATGGAGACTGTATCATTAACACTGACTTGTTAGTACTAGTTCGGTATCTCAGACATGCCTGGGCCGATCACCAACAAAGTTCACACATACAAATGCACGTCCATTCGTTCTGCGAACTAATTCTGATTTCTATTTTGGAACTGGATCTTGTTTGTGCATGGGCAGATTTTCTTCAAACTTGATAATGCATTGAACATTATAAAATCTTAATGAACTTCATTTTGTTTTACAGATTTGATTTACAATGTCTGACTAGCAGACATTACATTTTAATGATTGCTATTTCAGCGCCAAGACTGTTCATGTTCAAACTTTATATTATATTTCTTTTCTTAAACCTGATGATTCACAGGAACTACGTAATGCAATTACAGTTTCATCAATGTTTAATTAATTACAAGTTTATTATTCATAATGGCAGAAAATGTATTCAAAGTGATAATGAATAATTGAATTTGGCAGTGCACATGTCAAAATTAAGACTATAAAGAAGAGACCTACACAGAAATGAAGTAAATAACAGTATTGTTCAATATTGACTAAAACTTTTTTTTTTTTTCAAGAAAGAGTGTGTGTCCTTCAATAGTTGCACATCATTACTTCTCACTTCTTGTCTAGATCTGCAACAATTCCTATACCATTACAAATATATGTTTTTTTCTTTATATTATAGCTTACTGACTTGAGCATCCAGTACCTTTCTGGGGTTTGTCACTACCTGCATAGCTTAGATATTTCTGGGTGTGTGCATGTAAGTGATAAATCCTTGAGGTATTTGCGCAAGGGGTGTAAGCGCATTAAAGTATTGGTCATGCTCTACTGTAGAAATGTCACCAAGTAAGTTGATACATATACTGATAGTTAAAATATGCACAGACCTGCATGGTCTGACAATTATCAATTTCCATTTTTAGCCCCACTGTCAAATGGAGCTATTTATATTACCGGCGTTGGGTACTGATTGTCCATCTGTCAGCGTTGTCAACTTTTCTTCTAAAACCATAAATAGGGTGGTTCTCAGATTTGTGCCAATAACTTTAATTCTTTAATTATCATGAGTAATACGTAATTTTTTTTAATAAGCACTATTTTCACTCTCTCTTTGAAAACTACTAACCTGATTGCATTGCCACCTTCAAAGTTGAATTTTTCTTTACTGGCCATTGGCAAGTTTTTAGTGGCCAACTGAAAAAAATAGTAGCCAAATACAAAATTTGTTATAACCATGTTAAATTGTTCAATTATGTTTGAATTCAGATGTTTATTTAAGCATATATAAAATAATTCCGTACATTAATAAAGCAGTAAGCCTAATTAACTGCCATACAAAATTGCCATTTCTATTACTCTCTGGTCATTTTCTAGTTCTCAAGCTCATTGCTATCTATCTTCCATCTACTCTTGAAACTATCTGAACCCTTTAGCTGAATCACTCATGCCAGTTTCAATGGAATGTGTGCTGCAGTATATATAAAACATGAAATTTTCGTCTTTATTGTATTCAAAATTACAAAACATTCAAATTCTGAAAATGCACTACTCCACTGTAAGCAGATGTGTTCCCAGTAATGCCACAGTGTACTACTCCAAAAAAGACAGCTTGAGATAGCATACAGTGAAGTGAATGCACACTTTCAATGACTAGATTGAATTTTACCTACAAAAACCAATGTACAATTTACAATCACTTGATAAAATAAACTTCAAAAATATTCCGCAATCTGATAATGAAATGTATATGTGCAAAATGTGATGACAAGCTTTATAGTATGTTTTAGTCACCTGCCAGATGAAACTCCAAATAAGATATTTTTTTTAAATTGTCATGGTCTTTGATATCTTGGATGGCCTTCTTTCAGATTCAGATTTTCAATGCAATTAACTTTTTCGACACCTCACAAACTGCAGAGCTATTTCAGCCAACTGGCTGCTTGTTTGATACTTAAGTTGAATGTGAATGTGAAAATATGGTGTTTTGTGAGTCAGATTATTATTATCAACTCTAAGTCCAGCACTTAGTGACACTAATGCTTACATTGTATTGTCAAAACTTTCACTTGAACTGTATCACTTTTTTTTTAGGACTGCTTATTTGAAACTGCAAGGAAAGATTCAGTCAGTAACCTGGAACAATGATGACCCACCTGCCTACTTTTCAAAATCTCAAGCTTCAGTCACCAGGCTTAAGAACCCGGAATTGGTGGCAGGCTCTGGAACTGGTTCCGGTTGAAAAATAAACACAAAAATAAATACACTGTGTTAGATCTGAATAATATGCAGTACCAATACTATAAGCACATTTTCAAAGTGTGTATTAGATGAAATGGTTCATTGACGATAGTTTATATGTTGATCAGAGTATCAGCAAGGTTTCCAATTCCAGAACCAAGTTATGTTTATATTAGTATATAAATGTATATATGGTAAATACCGGTATATATATATATACAATTTGTTTTGCCAAAGATGTATTTATACATTCCATTCCACTTTTAAATGATTTAACTTAATATGTTAATGATTTAACTTAATGAATTTGTTGTAGATATTTTGTAACTACACCTCTACATATATTCCACTTTTGCTAAGGCATCATTATAGTTGTCAAGTGACTCTTATTTTGGAACATGGACAATTAAACCTATGCATAATGTAGAGTCGAACTACCTCCACTGGTGCCAAGAGAAGCAGAGTACATTTTTCATTGGGTGGGTTTATTGCAATGTTAGATTTGTGCGTTTCACTATTTTCTTTGACAATCATCTTATCTGAATTCTGTAGTAACAGGCTTCATTAATTGGTGACTAGATGCTCTTTAGAATTATAATTCCAAACTTGCATGTATTTTAGTAAACACCTAACATAATAAATATTGATTTCTTCTCTTGTATAGTAAATAGTCATTTATCTCTGATATTTTTTAACACATAAAACTTGTATAACTACTTGTACGAGATTCTAGTTTTGTGATTTGCAAAAAGATCACATGCTTTCTTTTCTCCTTTTCTATGCTTTTTATCAGACATCTCAATTCTGATAGTGAAAAAGCAAATCTGTAACAGCAAATATTTTGAGATATCTTGATGTTAGATTTCATGCATCAAAATATCACATTAAAACCCATTTTGTACTGTGCTTGTCTAATACTTGCTAAAATTTGTGGAAATTGTTTGTAATTAATTTGTTTGTTGTTTGTAAATAAACTATTTCAGTTTTTTTAATTATAGTGACCAATAATCTTAGGTTTGTATATTCTTCATGTATATAGCATTGATACCGAATACTGCCACTATTTTTTGTTTTTGTTTATTTAGATTTTGTCTAAATCAACAGATATAGATTTGGTTGCTACTGAGTCACATCTACTCAGAAAATTTGTTTTCCCTGGGATCTACTTGGCATGTTGAGTAAACATCTCACTGTTAGGGTCTTGTTAGCTTGGCCGGTTTCTACAAACTCCACTGTATGTTCCAGTTGCGCGGGATATATTTCTGTGTTTTGTGCTGTCATATGTGAAATTGGTGTAAAGTTAAGAAATCTGCCAATGTTCCTGCCACATAAGTAAGAACTTGTCGCATGTGCTTCATTCTTCATCTATATGTCACTGTTAACTGTGTGCCAACAATCTTTATAATGAATGTCATGTGTATAGTTGTGACTGTTGTCACATTTTGTGGTGTGAAGCTTGCTTGAGATTCTGAAGTTTGCATCGATTAAGATACTGATGCCAGGGAATTGACCCTCTCCAAGTTTTTTTAAATGTCCAATTCTGCCGTGTGAGGGCGCTACAAATGCACCATTCTCGCAATTAAAACTGTTCAGAGATCGTGTAAAGCAGGGTAAACATTAATATAATGTCTATCGGTACAGCGATTTGTGTGAATTAAGGTAGAGATGCAGTTTATTTTGCTGATTTCATTTATTTTATATTTTTTATGGCATTGTATGAACATCTGTATTCTGTGAAAATTTGAAATTAATATCATTAGTGGAACTCTGGGTGGGTGATCAGTCTGGGTGTTTATTTATGCAAAAACTTAGTTTAGTGAAATTTGAGCTGCTGCCCAGCAACAAAACTGACAACTGGTAGACAGTTTTCAAGACGGCACTTTTTTCATAGTAAACAGATGTACCTGTAAACCAATTTTGACAGGAAACAGAAGCATGGTTTAGAAGCTCATTTTTTAGCTCCGCTGTCGACTTTGTCGAGCGGAGCTTATCATATGAGTGATTGTTTGTCTCCGCCGTCGTCGTCCGTGTCAATGTTTTACTTTTTCGACTTCTTCTTGAAAACTACAAGCCTGAATGCTTTGATACTTGGTGTATATGTACCTTGGGTAGACCTCTCTTAGGTTTGTTCATTTCATGTTGATATCTTCAATTCTCTAATTTTGGTG